TTGTCTTTACTAGGCCCACGTCCCTAGCGACCCCTCCTTGGGTTTCCAAGGCAGTTATCACTATGGCCGATTCTATGGCAAATAACAACAACAACAAGAAGGCCCACGTCCACTAACTTCCTCAACTCTGCTTCAGAACCAGGTCTCCACAGGTAGCCCAGCCCGTTACTGTGGGATTGTGGGTGAGAGTGGACCCCCCCCCCCAGGGCTCAGGACGAGAGCACCAGTCCTCACGGGTCCAGAGTCCATGGAGTGCAGCAGGCAGGGTGCTTGAACCTCAGTGGCCAGGGCTCAGGTGCACACAGGGCACCTTGCCAAGGGTGGATGGGCTCGGTGCGTGGGGGGCGCCAGGCCCAGGTCCTTCCGCTGCAACTTGTGGGATTGGAGTAGGGGCGGGAAAGGCGTTCCCAGCCAAGAGATTGGCTAGGGCAAGGGAGTGGCATGGCTGGTGGGCAGGCCTGGTAGGCAGAGCGTGAGGGGCGGGGCTGGAAGGAAGGGCTCCTGGGGCTCCCCTGAGGGTGCGCCAGGACCTGGGGCTCAGAGACTGCAGGAAAGCAGGGCCCCCACCAGGGCACGAGGTCAACTCTGCGCGGCAGTATCCTGGGATGTAGGCCCTCGCGGGAGGTCTCAAGGACAGTAGCCCTGCCTTGGGTCTCCTGCTGCAGACGAGGGTGTGGCGCTCCTGCCGGCGCCTCCCCTGTGCTGTCGGGGTCTCTGGCACGCAGGGGCTCCCCGAGAGCCTGCTAAGCCGTGTGGCTCCTCTCTGGATCCCCCAGTTGGCACCAGAACCCACTGGGGAGGGCGTTTCCATGGTTCCCCTAATCAGAACTTTCATCACCCAGGGCCTGGGAGTGCAAGGGTTGGGCGGGCGTGGGTGGCTGTCTCCAGGGCTCGGGGCACCTTGTGACGGCCGAGCTGCCCCTGTGGAGCTCGTAGCACCCGACCTACGCCCAGCAGGTAGTTGGGAGCCCACCTGCCTATCTCGGCCTGGAGTGGGAGGGCCCGGCTGTTTCCACCCTCAGAGCGCTCCACCCCGAAAGGGCCCCCCTGAGCGGGACCCCTGGCAGCACTCGGCGGTGGCCTGGTCACCAGAGCACGCACTTGCATGGCGGGAGGCCTGGACGGGTGGGTGGGGTTGGTGCGCAGGCTGCTTCCAGGCTCTCCGTGGCTTAGTCCCTGCCCCGGCAGCGCGGTCGGCTGCTTGCGCGTGGCGCACTGCTGCTCCCGCAGCTCCGGGTGGGTGTGGCAGTGCCGTGGTCCTGGGGCAAAAGCCTGGGATTGCCTCCCTAACCCTGCTCCCAGTGCACTTATCGTCTGTGAAGGGACTTGTAGGAGAGCAACAAGAGCTCTCCTTAAAGACAGCAGAACCTACGGGAAACCCACTGCTGCCCCCGGCCTCAGCTCCCAGGGACCCTGTAGGACGGAGTGGAACTGCCCACAGGGTCTCCAAGGCTGTCAATTTTCATAGAAGCAAAGCCCAAACAAACCACACCCACTGCTGTGGAGTCCATTCCGAGGACCCACAGCGCCCCTAGAGGACAGAGTGGAACTACCCCACAGGGTCTCCAAGGCTGTCAATCTTCACAGAAGCAAAGCCCAAACCACACCCACT